CCAAAGTTAGAGAATCTGCTGTTAAAATCACAATACCTACCATAATTAAACATTGGTAACAATTATTGTTCTATTATTTGTTTTTCTCTTCTAATATAAAATAGTAGTGCCAATTTTAATTGCATTTCTCAAGTTTTAAAGAGGCAGAGAAAATATGTATTGGCTCATATTAGGTAGGAATAGTAACTTTTTTGGAAACAAAGTTTTCAATTGGGTATAACAAAACTATAATCATATGTAACAATAGAGTTTAATGCTAGTGTTAACTGAGAGATAGATCATAAGAACAAGTGCCAACTGTTTATCTACATAATCTCAAAGACTATCTATACTTTAACAACAATCAATTCCCTAGAATTGAGAATTGAATAATGGAGAACAACTTTTGGTATATTCATATGCAATGGTAAGTCTAGGTCTCTCCAAATTTACAATCCAAAACAAAGATTTTATTGCATAATATTAATTAATCCTGCACAGCCTACCCACGGTCTTACTGTGGAGCAAAAAATGTCACACATACAACTTTTTGTACTTTGCATAAGGTGGCTATGTTGTTATCATAATTCATAATTGTGGTATAATCACCTCTTGATCAGCGTTTCCAGCCCAGAATTGACCAAGCCAGCTCAGACTCTCTGGGGGTATGCTCACCTTCATGAAGATCCTGTGCGTGGAAACCAATAATAGAACACGAAGTCAGTCACCAGCTGCTGCAAAACGGGAGCTTGGACGAGCTCGCCCATGTAGAATTCCATCTCGCATCTGTTCCGGCTCAGCTCACTGACGACTTCGATCCCAAGAACAGGTGCAAGAATGGACGAGCTCTTGCTCCTCACCTCCACGTCCCGGCACTTTGCTGTCGAATCTAGCCACCGGTATGACGACTGTGGCAAAACTTGAGAGATCTCGCGCACGATCTCGTGGGCTTGAGCTCGAGGGAGGTGACGATTGATGTAGAGCTCTTCTTCTTCTTGCCTGATCAAGCTCCTTGTCGTCCAAATGGTAGCAAAAGGCGAGCATGACTTTGTGGCACTCCTACCTCTGCAAATCCCGGACAACTTTGACATCCAAGATGGCTCCTTTTCTGATGATTGCCGCATTTGGCATCGGGGAGCGAAGCGATGGCGCCTAAATGGAACGTCCCGAGAGGCCAGTCCTGATGTTGAGAAGGAGGGGATGAAAAAACTCTTGGTGTTTACCGTTGCCAAGTCTGCCTCGCCGTGCATAGCCACTTGGAAAAGCAGCATAATCGCAGAAGTAATCTAAACCGTCAAGTTAAGTATTTTTGAGATCGCTATACATTAATTATAATTAATATGCATGGAGTTATATGCACATATATTTATAAAAGATGAAAAGTAAAATAAAAAAAATGAAAAATAGAGCTTGAGGATAGCTCATTAACATAGCTAAATTAATAATTTGGTTTCTATTGTATGAATCCCTTCTCTTGCAGGCTGTGGACTGTGTCTGCAATGTACTCCTCAAAGGGCCTAAACTTGAGCCCCAAATCCTGCAGCCGCCTGGTTGAAATCTTCCACGATTTCACACGCGGAGAATCGTCTTTGGGCCTGGCAAAAAAAACAAAGCAAACGTTTTTAGCACCACAAACAGTGTTATGAAAGCAAAGACAACGAAAACAACGAGAAAGCAAACGAGGAAAGGAAAAAAAAAAAAAAAAACAAACAACAGACGACGTAACCGAATAAACAGCGATCACTCACTTTCGCGGGATTGGATAGTCCGGAAAAAGTTTTGCCATGGCCTCCACAACCTCCCCGCGGTGGAGTATGTTCTCAGCACACAAGTACCTCCCGCAAGCACTAGGCTCCTCGTACACGAGAATGTGTGCCTCGGCCACATCTCTCACGTCGACGTAAGCTTGACAGTGATTCGTGTACACTTTGGTTGCTCCTGCGTGATAAATTCATTCACCGTTAGAACAAACGGTGCGAAATTCTAGCAAGCTACATTGACAGAAGCTTGCCTGTAAGATACTTGAGGATGTGTGTGGTGCTAGCATTCATCGTGCTCTGAAGCAGCGGGCCAAGAACCACTGACGGATTCACAGTCACCATATCCACATGGCTCTGGTTTGCGAACTCCCAGGCAGCCGACTCGGCCAAAGTTTTTGCGAGGCAGTAGCCATTCTGGAAAACTCTCCCTGTTAGTTCACGAAGTAGATGAAAACCAAAACAAGAGAAAACGCCTACTCTTGTGTCCTTGAGATACTGAACGTCGCTCCACATCTCCTCGCTCACGACCTCTTCCACGGGCCTCTTCGGATCCATGTAAACGGACCCCACGGAGGATGTGAGAACGACTCGCTTCACATGGTGCTCCACTGCGGCCTTGAGTATGTTTAAAGTGCCACGAACAGCTGGTTCCTACATAATGCATTCCACCAAAGGCAAATAATGTCAGAGATGGAGGTGGATGTCCTATCATTGTCGTTTTTTATACTAAGCTATGATCGGAAAATGCCAAAGATCTACTTGCTACATACCTGGACAATCCCAAGATCATCAGTGACCGGACAGGCCGTGTGGAAAATTCCTTGACAACCCTTTGTAGCAGCCGAGATACTTTCATAGTCAAGTATGTCCGCTTTCCACAGGCTGAGCCTCTCTTTTGCGCCATCGAAAGCTTTTAAGTGATCGTTCCTCTCATCATCTGGATAAAGGAAAAAAAATAGAGAAAGATCCATGGTAAGAGATAAAAGGTAGAAGAGACATGGAAGTCGAGAAGAATTTACTCGCGTACCGGGATTTCTCACCGTTCCATGGACTGTGTATCCTCTTTCCAGGAGGAGCTTGACGAGCCAAGAAGCCACAAATCCATTGGCGCCGGTCACACAGACAGTGTCCTTGACAGCATCCTTTACGCTCTCAATCGTCATGGAGGCGATCGATTAGCCTAGAGAGGGCGAGTGGAAAGTCTGCGAGGAAATCGAAAGTTTTAGGACACCATTTATGGCGCAATCGATTCCAATCGAATCAATGCTAGAGCGATCATGCCCGGAATGCGAGTGGAATGGCCGAAATATCGTGCCTACCTGCGTGGACGCGCTACCTAGTTCCTGGGCAATCACGGAAGCATTTCTTATGGACGCCGCCGCGATGCGATTCCTCCGCCAAAATGTGTGAGCCGCGACGAGATTTAGCCGCAAAACCGAGGAATTCCTTGGAGAGATCGATCAAATCCAAGATCGATCCAGCGCAAGGCGAGCCCTGGGCGGCCTGGGCTGGGATTCTCGGCCTATAAAAACTAACCCAAAGGTGTTGTTTGCTTACGTGAGGCGCACTTCTCTCTTTTGCCCCTCATCCCTCACCGTCACTGACATCAGTCGTGCCGGTCGACCCCTCAGCCGTGACGGCCACTGGACACGTTTTGATCTGCCGGTCAAAAAAGAACAATTAAACTGCCGGGTTAGGTGAGCTGCCAGTCAAACCGGTCAAAGAAAAACGAAAACGTTTTCTTACCTTTTCCGGCTATCTCCGATGCTATCAGACACGTGACACACAATCTTCCAGGTCAGCAAATAGTGCCACGCTGGCAGAGCTCTAGAGAAAATGTGTGGACCATGATCATCGTCTAGAGCGTTCTCAAATATTCGCGACGTGTCACAATGTCGGTAATATTAGGGCTGGGCTAGGGTTCGTGGGGAGGCAGGGATTGGCGGTGAGAGCTACACATAAATATCGCGGGCAGTGATCGCGAGAATTCGCGAGCTCCAGCTCAATCGGTGGGAATTTCCTCTGCTCTATGGCTGCTGCTTCCACCTCGGGATTGGTCCAGTCGTGTTTCAATGCGGCGCAGCGAGAATCGGCGGCGAATTTAGTGCTCTCTCGATCGACTAGAAGTGTGGTGCGATGCTACCGGAGAGAGGAGCGCGGGTTTAGCTCTTTCCAAGGCTTGCGAGCAACGAATTTGAGCTCCAAGAGGTTTTTGACAAGGCAGCATGGAAGGAATTTTCGCGTTGTTACCCGGTGTGCTGCATCACCAGGGAAAGATGGACGAGTAAGTCTAGCTCTTCCGTTCGTGCTTTAGAACTTACGACGTTTCTATCATTCTTTTGTTTCTTCACTCACAGATTAGCCAGGCCGACTTTACGGACATGGCATGGCAGGCGATTGTCGCGTCCCCGGAAATCGCCAAGGAGAACAAGCAGCAAATCGTCGAGACGGAGCACCTGATGAAAGCTCTCCTAGAACAGAAGAATGGTTTGGCAAGGCGAGTTTTTGGAAAAGTTGGTGTCGACAACACTGGGCTCCTCGAATCTACGGAGAGGTTCATTCAGCGGCAGCCAAAGGTATGTGTTTCTGGTTTTCAGCTGCATTGTTTTGTGAGTCTTACGTGAGCTATGGTTTAGATTGTCGGTGAGACCGGGGGTTCTATGCTTGGGCGAGAGCTGGAAGCACTTCTCGACCGGGCAAGAGGCTTCATGAAAGACATGGGGGACTCCTACGTCTCCATTGAGCACTTGCTCTTGGGGTATTTGCAAGACAAACGATTCGGGCAAGTTCTCTTTAAAGAATACCAGATTACCGCTAAAGCCTTGAGAACTGCAGTTGAATCTATTCGGGGATCGCAGAAAGTCACTGATCAATGTAATGCTTTCTCATATGGTTTCCTAAATTTCTGTACTAAACGTGTGAAGTTCTGGTTTTCAGCACCGGAAGGAAAATACGAGGCTTTGGACAAGTACGGAAAGGACTTGACCGAAATGGCTCGTCAAGGAAAGCTTGACCCTGTGATAGGACGGGATGACGAAATCCGGCGCTGCATCCAGATTCTCTGCAGGAGAACAAAGAACAATCCGGTTTTTATTGGTGAGCCTGGAGTCGGCAAAACAGCCATCGCTGAAGGGTAGGAAGTGTTGTTTATCTTTCGTTGCGTATCTAAAAAACTCGTCAACTTCAGGTTAGCTCAGCGTATTGTACAAGGGGATGTACCCGAAGCTTTGATCGATCGAAAGGTACGGCTTTTGACTTAATGCAGCATAAACTAGATACTAAATCTTCTTTTGACTGGCAGCTTGTTTCTCTTGACATGGGTGCGTTGATAGCCGGCGCTAAGTATCGCGGTGAATTTGAAGACCGGTTGAAAGCGGTCTTGAAGGAGGTGTCTGAGTCTGATGGACGGATCATCCTTTTCATCGACGAGATCCACACAGTTGTTGGCGCAGGTTAGTTGAGAGATTTTAAATTGCTTGTGAGCACATCTAACCGGAGGATATGATTCGTAGGAGCTACAAACGGCGCAATGGATGCCGGGAACCTTCTAAAGCCTATGCTCGGTCGCGGAGAGCTGCGGTGCATTGGTGCCACAACTCTCGACGAGTATCGGAAGTATATTGAAAAAGATCCCGCGCTGGAGCGTCGCTTTCAGCAAGTCTTTGTGGACCAGCCCACGGTTGAGGACACTATCTCGATACTTCGAGGACTGCGCGAGCGCTACGAGCTGCATCATGGCGTGCGCATTTCTGACAGTGCGCTCGTTGCCGCCGCGTTGCTCTCTGACAGATACATCAGCGACAGATTTCTGCCCGACAAAGGTATCAACAGTCCACTTTGATTTTCATATCATGGTCAACTTTTTCTCTGTTTTTTTCACTGCAGCCATCGACCTCGTTGACGAAGCAGCTGCGAAGCTCAAGATGGAAATAACATCCAAACCAACTCATCTCGATGAGATCGACCGCGCCGTTTTGAAGCTGGAGATGGAGAGGCTGTCGCTCAAGAACGACACGGACAAGGCCTCCCGGGACCGGCTGGACAAGCTGAACGTCGAGCTCGAAGCTCTGAAAGAGAAACAGAAAGAAGTCACGCAGCAGTGGGAGCACGAAAAATCCGTCATGCTCAAAATCCAATCCATCAAAGAGGAGGTAGACAGAGTGAACCTTGAGATCCAGCAGGCCGAGCGGGACTACGACTTGAACCGCGCGGCAGAGCTGAAATATGGCAGCCTCATGAGCTTGCAGCGGCAGCTCGAAGTGGCCGAGAAGAACTTGGACGACTACCAAAGCCGAGGAAGTTCCATGCTCCGAGAGGAGGTAACGTCCGACGATATCGCGGAGATCGTCAGCAAGTGGACGGGCATCCCGGTCTCGAAGCTCCTCCAGTCCGAGATGGAGAAGCTGCTACACATCGATGACGAGCTCCACAAGCGCGTCGTTGGACAGGAGCCGGCTGTTCAGGCAGTAGCCGACGCTATCCAGCGCTCGCGAGCCGGGCTGTCCGATCCAAACCGGCCGATCGCGAGCTTCATGTTCATGGGGCCGACTGGAGTCGGAAAGACGGAGCTGGCGAAAGCGCTGGCGGCGTATCTCTTCAACACCGAGGAGGCGCTCATCCGGATCGACATGAGCGAGTACATGGAGAAGCACACTGTGTCTCGGTTGATCGGTGCTCCGCCGGGATACGTTGGGTATGAAGAAGGTGGTCAGCTCAGTGAGGCTGTGAGGAGGCGGCCTTACTCGGTGGTGCTGTTCGACGAGATCGAGAAGGCCCACTCGGACGTGTTTAACATCTTCCTCCAGATTCTCGACGATGGAAGGGTGACGGACTCGCAGGGCCGCAAAGTGAGCTTCAAGAACAGCATCATTATCATGACCTCCAACATCGGCTCGCAGTTCATCCTCAACAGCCTCGAGGCCGGAGAGTCTTATGAACGGATGAAGGATCGCGTGATGGATGTCGCACGCCAAACCTTTCGTCCAGAGTTTCTCAACCGGATCGACGAGTACATCGTGTTTAAGCCGCTGGACCGGGAACAGATCAACAAGATTGTCAAGCTACAGGTAAAGTCGATCACTTTCCATACCTCCTTTTGCGAAGTTTTTAACGTGTTCTTTGTTGATTTTGCCAGCTTGCGAGAGTACAGCATAGACTGAAAGACCGGAAGATCAGCATGACGATCAGTGAATCGGCAGTGGACCTTCTCGGGAAGATGGGCTATGATCCGAGTTTTGGCGCTCGGCCCGTGAAGAGAGTCGTCCAGCACCAAGTGGAGAATCCAATCGCGAAGGGAATTCTCCGCGGGGACTACAAGGAAGACGACACCATACTCGTGGACGCGGAGCTTGTCGCTCCCTCGGAGGACGTTCTCCAGCAAAGGCTCGTTTTTCGAAAGGTGGCTTCCTCCCAGAGCTCCTCTAAACCTTCCCAGCCGGAGGTAGAAGTGTTAGCACCAAATAACTAAGGATACGAGGCACTCTTGTGTCCTGAGAAACGTAGATTTAGCTTCCTCGTTTCGTTTCTTCGTTGCCTTTCTTCAGACTCACGGTACTCAAGAGCTTGTCCGAGAGTTTTACAAGGCACCTATATCACTGTAAACAAGACGTTTGAGAGAAGAATCGTAAATGGAAAACTTTTTAAGTTTGTAATAGTGCCTGGGAATGCTGTTTTAACCAAGCACTGGCAGAACGAAGAACTCGAAGCTCACCACCTACAATGGCCTTTGCGATCTCTTTTCTTGGTTTTTGCAAGACCGCAGAGTCCCGGATTGCCTGGAATGGATTGGAAGATGGTTAGAGTAAGCACCATAAGAAGGAAAAGTGAGACAAGTACCGATGCTGCTTGTTCGTGTTTTTGTATCCTATTGTCAATGACTGTTTGCAGCAGCGTCATTGCTTTGTGCTCCTTGGTCTTATCAATTGATGGCCGGCGAGCAAGACGACCATCAGTATCAGCAGCAAACTTAGCCATTTCGTCTAGCTCTGCGTCGGAAAGCACAGTTAGCTTCTTGGAATATATTTAAGTCTTACAAACCTTCCGACGTTGTTGCACATACAACACGGGCAAAAGCACGTAAAGTCTGTGGAATACCCTTCCCTCTGCCTGCTTTCGACTTTACCTCTCTGTGGAAAATGACACAGTTGTTGCAACATATTTCTAGCTACACGCAAGCGCTTACTGAAGAGAAAACGAACTTCCAGCAGTATCCACACCCTCTCTGGTGACGCAAGTTTGCATGTTGTGCGAGTGTAGAAGCTTAAGTTTGCTGTCACGAAGCGGATCCTTTTCCGAAAGGCTCAACCAGATTCCAGCCTACAGCGGGCGAAATAGCAGTCAGAGAGCTATATTGGTAAAACAATCACAACCTGATCGTGAGGATTGAAGGGAAGAGCAAAACCAAAGTCGAGAGCAAGTGTTGCATTCGAGAGCTGACCATAGCTAATGACCACCTTCCATCACAAACTTTAGTCGTAGTTCAGATCAAGAAAAACTGGTACATACTTGGTCTCCAGTAGCATAGTCCCGATCTGAAACAACCTATAGTTTCATTCTATTGTGAGTCGATTTCCTAACAAGAGAACAAATACCTCTGCACAATGTCTGTCCTCGTCGTACGAAAGCATCGCGCGGCAATTGGCATCATGGTTGAAGAAATCCACAAAAGGAACCTGTCCCCATTTTCAGCACTTCACACAACAGATGGAAGAGAACATACCAAAGCAAGTGATTTAATCGTTTCGATCCCCCAAGCACGAGAGCAAACTGTAATGTAATCAGTGAGGATACGTGAGCAAACGAAAAGTTTAACCTGTTGCATAAGCATGCTTGAACTCCAGCGCTGAAACTCGACTACCAAAAATGTGTGGGCAGAGTAGAAGTGCCTGCAAATGGAAGAGCTCAGCTTGAATATATAAACTGGTTAAAAGAAAAACCAGACATTTTCTGCTGCTGCAAATTCCATTCTCACCACGTCCTTTCTCTGTACAGTTTCGCGATAAACAGGGCTCACTTTTAAGTAAACCAGCTCGTCTTGTGTCCAGAAAATCTGGCCAAATCGACAGGTTGTTAAAGAGAGAGAGAAAAAAAAGCCCAAAAGGTCACTTACAGTGCTATGCATGCTACCGAAAGGAGGTAAGCAACTTATATAAGGAGCCCATGCGGACGTCTGGAAGCAAACGCTTACGCTTTCTGAGAAAAGAAAGAAAAGGAAAGGTTCTTAAACGTAGATACCTCTTTTTTCTTTTGGTGAGCAAGCAAGAAAAGCGCTAGCTTTGCCCATGCACTCACGTCCTTCGACAGTAGCTTCGTTACTTCTTCCGGAAGTTTTTCCGGGGTGATCATCTAACTTCGTAGAAAAGCATCGATGGTGATCTCGCAATGCAAGTCTCAAAGCTTACCAGATCATGTGAAACATGTAACATGCATTCTCCAGTATGTATGGGGCGAGAGGCAAACAATCCTCTGGAAGAACAAAAGAGCTGTCAAAACAATCCTGGAGAGAACATAGAACCCTCACCTTCCATGCGGTGACAATCCAATGCTGAGGCCAGTGTTAGGATCGTGCTCCCCGCGACGCTTGAGCCAGGAAGAAAACTCGCATTGTTCCTTGGTCTAGCCAACGAAAGAAAAAAAACACAGTGAAGCAAGCGTTCGTCTGGAAAGCGATGAATACCTCCGAAGAAGAAGAAGAGTTGGCTCCTCGTCCACCGCTAAGATGAGGAACACATACAATTCGATGGCCACTCCTACCTCCACACACAGCATCCGGAGCTGGGAGGCATAGAATCCGCCGGCGACAGGTAGCCCACATTATGATCTTCCTCTTGATTTTCTTCGCACCATTCTTGCTGCTCTTCCTCAGATCCTCACTCTTCGTGCTTGTAGCTGTGTCGCTCTTTGCCCCAATCGACATAGCAGTAGCATTCACAGCAAAGATTTCTTGCTAGGCGCAGCGAGGAAGCACTGACAATCGACTTGATGACGATGATCGGCTCCTCCAGCTCGTCGCAGCTCCTCCTCCATTTCTTGGCGCTGTGACTATACCCTAAGCGCTATCTGTAATTTCCCGCGCTTAAAGAGGAGGGATTTTAGGGTTCTATCGATGGCTATGGCCTTCGCGACTTCGCTCGGGCGCTCCACGATCTCCATCGGCAGTGCCGCCCCAGCTCCAGCTCCGGCATCGGCGCAGCGCGGCTGCTCGATCCGATGCAAAGGTTTGAGCCTGGAAATCCAGAAATGCAGGTCTTCTGGGCGAGGAATCCAGCCGCGATTGAGCTCTAGGCTTTTGGCCATGGCGGAGGATGAATCGTCCGTGGCCACGGCGGGTGAATCCGCGGCTGAGGTAACGGAAGCGCCGAGCGAATCGCCGGATTCCGGGAAGAACGATGGCGAATCCGGTGACAAAGGCGACGAGGCAGAGGCGGTGAAACCCCGAGTTGTGTATCCCAAAGGCTTCACTCGCTACGAGACCATGGCTGTTCTTCGGCCGGACATCACCGAGGAGCAAAGATTGGCACTCTCGCAACGATACGAAGAGGTAAGCCAAAAAAAAATCATTTTCTTTGGGTTCTAGTTCTTCCAGTATCGATACTTTTTTCTTGAATTCTTTTCGAGCTTTTGCCTCTCTTGCTTGCTTGAATGATCACGAATGGCTTTCACTCACGTTTGTTACTTGTTCTTCGTGAGATTTTTTTACCTTTCTCTCAAAGTTCTATCTTCTCTTGATGCTTGTTCTCTTGCGATTTTTTCTACTCGTTTCTTCTCATTACGCATTGTCACACAGATGATCATCGCTGGTGGTGGAATGGACGTGGAGATCTTCAACAGGGGAATCATGCCGCTAGCTTACGGGATCCTCAAGAAGAACACCCGGGGCGAGAAGAACACGTACGTCGATGGCATCTTCTACATGTTTACCTTCGCAACGAAACCAGGCAGCGTGAAAGAACTCCAAAGAAAGCTCGAGACCGACGACGATATAATCCGGGTCACCACTTTCAAGATCAAGTAGAGGAGAGGAGGTTTTTCCTAGCGGAATATCCTAAGCTTCCAGGTTAAAACTGTCGGAATATGCGCCTGACGGATTCGTGCTCTTGAGTTTTTTCTACCCATGGCGGCTGCTGTGTGGGTGCCGCCGCCGGTCGCGTCTCAGCAGCACAGAGTTTTTTTGCTACATGGGTCTTCTACGAAAAGGTGGGCCGCTTTGATTCAGAAAACATGCTGATTGGAGTCTTGCAGGGATGTGTTCTATAAGCGGAGTGAAAACTTTCGAAGAACAATTTGCTGTGCAATGTTCGGTGCTGGAGAAAGCTCAGGTAATCCTGCAAATCCTGGTCATGTCTTCTTGCTCGATTTCTTTTCCTTGCACTTTTAAGTTATAAAGATTTTTCTTTTTCGTTATGCTGCTTGAGTTCGCGTGACTTTTTGAGAATTTTTTCCTGTTCTTCGCTACGGAACTGATTTACCCCAGGCTCTACACCGATTTTCCCCAGAGTTGACGTGAGAGACCCGTACAAGCGGCTGGGAATCAGCAACGAGGCATCCGAGGAGGAGGTCCGAGCAGCTCGAAACTACTTGCTCAAGCTTTACGGTGCTCATCCCAAGAGCAAGGCCTCGATCGAGTCGGCCTACGACAGAGTCATCTCGGAGAGCTTGAAGAGGTACCGGAGAAAGCCCAAAGTCCTCAAACCTCCTCCAGTGTGGCTCCAGAAGCTGACGGACCGGTTTGATACGCCACCCACGGTCGTCATAGCCGCAAGAGCGTTTGCTTTCTTCGTTTTGGGAGTCTGGAGCGTTTTGGAGGCGGCAGCCACAGGTCCAAGCTTCCAGGTAAAGAGGTTTTCACGCTTTTGTTTCTTTCTTCGTTTCGAGCATCGCAGACTAAGTTTACGCTATTATTTTTGACAGGTGATACTTAGTCTCGGTGCTTGTATCTATTTCTTGAAGAAGAGATTCAAAGTTTTGTGGAAAGCTTCGTTAATCGGGTAAGAACTTTGCTTTCTAAATCTTTTGGATCCGAAGCTTGGAAGCTTACTCTTTGTTTTTTCTTCCAGAGTTGCAGCATTTCTATTCGCCTGGGTGTTTGGCTCTTTCCTTGTTCCTTTGATTCCATTTCCCGGCTCTTGGAACATAGAACTGGCAACTTCGCTGATATCATACATAGTTCTCTGGATGTCATGCACTTTCCTCAAGTAAAGGTACCATCTTGAAAAAAATTGTGTTGATGTTTTTTTGTTGATGTTTTAATGCAAATATTCTAATGGTTTTGTCAAGAGTGAAGTTGCGTATTAGTTTAAGTTTAATTAATGCTCGCGTCCACATCACTAATCAGCTTGACTTTCAAAGCTTTTACTGGCCAGAAATTTCAAGTTGAAGGGTATGGCGGGAAAGCCATCTCAACGGCCAAGATTTCTGCCACGTGCCCGGCCAGGATCTGAAATAAAGTGCAAGGCTACTATGACATGCTCCACAAATCACGCCACGTCGGCACAATTTTTTTTCTAGGGATAGGGTTTTTGATTTTCAGGGGGAGGGGGATGAAGAAGCGCCTTGCGCGATCGATCGACATGATTTGAGAATGGTAAGCGCTTCCTCCTTCGCGCGCAGCGATCGTTTCTAGCTTGCATTCTCGATGCCTGTGGTAATCGTCCTGGGATCGTGCCGCAGCGATAGGGGTCTATAGTGGGAATTTCGCAGGGAAAATCTCATCGGATGCCTCAGCAGTGATTTTCTCTTTCTCTCTCGCTCTCTGACGAGATTTCCACCAATGGCGCAGGCTACCGTTGGCAATCTTACCGTTGGCTCTCCTGTGTGGGCTGAGGATCCTCAGCTCGCCTGGATCGAAGCTGAGGTTGTCAAAATTTCTGGAAACAATGTCACGGTTTGTACGAAGAAGGGGAAAACTGTGAGTACTACTAAAACTTCTCCACTTCCTAGCTAGTCTCTTAACATTGGTTTTTTCACTCGTAGTTTACGACAGTGGTGTCCAAGCTACATTCCAGGGACACCGATGCACAACCCGGAGGAGTGGATGATATGACGAAGCTGTCATATCTGCATGAGCCTGGAGTTTTATACAACCTTTGTAGCAGATATGCGTTGGACGAAATCTACGTAAGCCTGGATCACTGATTGGATTCCTCGTACTTATTCATGTTTTGGTCAGACTTACACCGGGAGCATCCTGATAGCTGTGAATCCTTTTGCGAGGCTGCCACACCTCTATAATGCCCATATGATGGAGCAGTATAGAGGTGCTCCGCTTGGGGAGCTCAGCCCTCATGTATTTGCTGTCGCCGACTCCGCTTATAGGTACCTCTTGTTTCTTTGTCTTCCTGGGTTTAATGGACTCATTTGTTCCATTTTAGAACAATGGTCAATGAAAAAATTTGCCAGTCTATTCTGGTAAGTGGAGAGTCTGGAGCGGGGAAGACTGAAACGACTAAACTGATTATGCAATACCTTGCATACATGGGAGGTCGTTCTACATCTGACGCACGAACTGTGGAACAACAAGTACTAGAGGTAAAGGACTACGTTGGAAGTACTTAAAATGAGACTGACATGTGGTATTTTGTGCAGTCGAATCCCCTTTTAGAAGCATTCGGCAATGCAAAAACTGTCAGAAATGATAATTCAAGGTTTTCTTTTCTTTATTATTGAATACACAGCCGGTGTTAAGATGGTTTTTTTTGGCAGTCGTTTTGGAAAGTTTGTTGATATTCAATTCGATCAAAGTGGAAGAATTTCTGGCGCAGCTATAAGGACGTATTTGCTCGAAAGGTCCCGCGTCGTGCAAATATCAGATCCCGAGCGTAATTACCATTGCTTTTACCAGCTGTGCGCATCCCCAGAGGTGTGTTCTATCGTGTACGCCTCGCCTCCTTTAACGTTTGATCTGTGCAGGATGCTGAAAGATACAAGCTCGGTGATCCACAACAGTTTCACTATCTAAATCAAAGCAAATGTTTCGAGTTAACGGGCATAAGCAACAGCAGAGAGTACGCAAACACGAGAAGGGCGATGGATATCGTTGGCATAAGCCCCGAAGAGCAGGTGCGAAATATTTTTGTCGACCAATATCGACGTGTCTATGTTTCGTTTCTTACAGGAAGCTATATTTCGGGTGGTAGCGGCGATTCTGCACTTGGGAAATATTGATTTTGTTTCTGGAAAAGATTCTGATTGCTCCGTTCTAGAAAATTCGAAGTCCAGATTTCATTTAGAGACAGCGGCAGAGTTACTCAAGTAGGTATTTGTTTGTTAATTTTTGTGTCTTGAACGTGGTTGAGTCTTTAGGTGTGATCCAAAAGGTCTTCAAGATGCTCTCTGCTTTCGGGCGATTGTCACGCGGGATGAAATAATTACCGTAGCTCTTGATCCTGCAGCTGCAACTGTTAATCGCGATACGCTGGCAAAAACACTTTATTCTCGTCTTTTTGACTGGTACGAAGATACCTCTTGTTTCTTTTCTGTTTTCTCTCACCATTCTTTATGTAAATCAGGCTGGTCGAAAAAATCAACAAATCCATTGGACAAGATCCCGAATCCGAGACTGTTATCGGAGTGCTTGATATTTATGGATTTGAGACTTTTAGAAGCAACAGGTATTTTTCTGGCCTTAAGTATGAATTTGGAAGGTGATTGTTGTTGTAAATAGCTTTGAACAGTTTTGTATAAACTTTGCCAATGAAAAGCTTCAGCAACACTTCAACCAGGTAACCCGTTGTTCTGTATGTTCTCTATTCCAACATATATCTCTGCAGCACGTATTCAAGATGGAACAAGACGAGTATACAAAAGAAGCTATCGACTGGAGCTACATTGAGTTTATTGATAATCAGGACGTTTTAGATCTTATCGAAAAGGTTTGTTGTTTTATTTTGCATATTGTCTGAGTTGAAACACTTATCCTGGCAGAAGCCGTTGGGTATCATCGCCCTTCTTGACGAGGCTTGCATGTTCCCGAAGTCCACGCACGAAACTTTTGCGACCAAGTTGTTCCAGGCATTCAAACACCATGTCAGATTCAGTCAACCAAAGCGGGCCCGAACAGATTTTACCATCGCTCATTATGCTGGAGAGGTAATTTGTTATTGTTATTGTACAAGTCCTACACATTTATTTACCAGGTCACTTACCAAACGGAGTATTTTCTGGATAAAAATAAGGACTATGTTGTTGCAGAGCATCAAGCCATTCTTGGATCCTCTACTTGCGGCTTTGTCTCTGGGCTTTTCCCAATCCCGTCAGAAGAATTTCTGAAGTCCTCGTACAAATTTTCTTCTATTGGTACTGGTTTCAAGGTGACTGAGAAATTTTATATTTCTGATGATTAACCATGACACTATAGCACCAACTGCAACAACTTATGGAAACATTGAGCACCACGCAACCGCATTACATTCGGTGTGTTAAACCCAACTCTCTCAACAAGCCGGGAATGTTTGAAAAATCAAACGTTCTTCAACAACTGCGCTGTGGGGTATGCATATCCTCGCGTCCTGCTACTGTAATAACGAGTGTGTCTTGGTGCAGGGTGTGCTTGAAGCTGTTCGAATTAGCTGTGCTGGATATCCAACCAGGCGGCCCTTTGACCAGTTCCTTGATCGTTTTGGTTTCCTTGCTCCCGAATTCCTTGATGGACGGTAATAACTTTGGAAATTTGACAAAATCTTACTAGTGTTTGTTTTCTTTAAGGTATGACGAGAGAAAAGCAACCGAAAAACTACTTCAGAAGCTGAACCTTGATAGCTACCAGGTAATAAACACTCACTTCAAAAACTCATTTGGCATTTTGTTCTCCACAGATTGGGAAAACAAAAGTTTTTCTAAGAGCTGGTCAAATGGCAGAGCTTGATGCTAGAAGAACACAAATCCTTAACAGCGCTGCAAAACTCATCCAGCGCAAATTTCGCACTTACTGTGCGCGGAAAAACTTTTTAAAAATGCGGAATGCTACAACTTGTATACAAGCGTACTGGCGAGGTACCTGCTGTTTCTATAAGATGTTCGTGCTGGTCCGACGCTTATTTTTTAGGCAGGCTCGCACGCAAAAAATACGAATCACTGCGACGAGAGTCCGCTGCAGTA